GGGTTTTAAGGTCAAACCTTCACAGTCGAGTCTATCAAGAGCCTTCTTAGGCAGCACATTCAAAGACGAATCAGTATCAACCAAAACATGGGCCAAAGTTGTGCCTCTACATTCGATAGAGACATGCAATGCCTCGTTGTGCTTCCTCCCTCTAGGTGTCAAGTCAGCATCAGAAAAGCCAAAACCATTGTCAGTGGTTAAACTGGCCACGCAGTCTTGGAACTGATCAGCAGAGGTTTCTTGTGGTACATGGGAAGTTTTAAGAAATTTCACCAAGGCCTTCTGTGATCATTGGAAATAGAACTGACTGTTTAAAGCTGGTTCGCGAAATGTCGCGGTAAGCAAGAGTCGCCACTGTCTTTTATGTTCTCCAACAAGGAAAGGACAAAAGCACAACAAAATTCCTTCTTTGAGATGTCTCTCGGTTCGGGAGGTAGATTTATAGAAAGGGAAGGTGTTAGCACCCTTTCTATCCATGGTTATCCATGGGCTCTTAGGTACTTGCTCTTATGTTTTCAAAAGATGTTTTCTTTTCAAATGTGAGTGGGTTTGAAAAAAGTTTCGTTTGAAAGATTTCTAAGTGACTCTTGTATCTGTCCTCAAGAGTGTATGAAAAATTTGTTTTGAAAACTTTGGAAAGTGTCAGTGTGAAAAGATGTTTTGTTTGTTTTTGAGAGAGCAAGTACCCATGAGTCATCTACCTACCCTAAGGAATTAGGCTGTGTAAGAGTCCTTTAGATAGTGCCATCCCACCATTGAGAGGTAGGTAGCACCACCGTTGGAGGTGTTCGGGTCAATTTGATTAAGGGACAGTGTGGTCACCGAAGCAATAGTAGGACACCTTAGAAGTAACCCTAATGTCGTAGATCCTTTTATCCGAGGCAACCATTTCGAGGCAACTGGATCTTAGACAGGAAGGCGACCTCTAAAACAACCTATACTTGACGACCACGTTCGAAGGCAACCGAGTGAGGCGTACCCTAGAAGTGGCATGTGCTTGTGTGTTCAATTCAGTTTATGTTTATCTTTGATCATGCAATTGTGAGCTACGAGTTGTTTTTTAATTTGTCATTCAGTCTTTCATGCATATTAACAGTTAGGAGTGCGGAAAGTTAAAGTGCGGGAATGTAAAGCTACGCTATTACAAGGCGCGGGTCTATACATCGCCAAAAACAAAACCCGTTTTGAAATAAAGTGCGGAAGGTAAAGAAAGCGATAAATCCTAATTACTATTACATCCATTGAGAAGATACATAAATAATCCAAATAAAAATAATACGGAAAGAAACTTAAATTGGAACGTCCTAGGGTTTTGGACCCTTTTGAGAAAATATGAGTTTTTTGGTCCTTTGCATTTAATTAAAATTAACCCTAGTTTACTAATTAATTAATTAATTAAAGAGAAAAAAGTTTTTTTGTGTTTTTTAATATTTTTTATATCTTTAATGAAAATAAAAAGGAATTAAAATTAAAAGTTAAGAAAAACCCTAGTTCTAAGTTTATTTTAATTATTTATGAAAAAGGTGAAAATTAGGCCTAAATTAAACTAAGTTAATTGTTAATATTTATTTACAAAAATAATAGTTAATAGTAAAAATAATAAAATATATTTACACTTTTTGATTTCAGAATTTATTATGAAAAATTAGTTTATTAGTTAATAATAATAATTAATTAGTTATGAGATAATTAAAAGGGAAAAAAGAAAAGAAAATAAAATAGCAAAACCAGGGGGGGTTTGATGGCCCAATGTGGAGGTGTTATTCTGGAATTCAGGCCCATTAAGAAGCAAGTCTCATTGACCTTGGGGATTGACCACACGCTTGTTGACTAGGGAGTATTATGCTCTTCATCTCCTGGCCATTGGATGTATGCTGAGAGACACATGGCACATTGCTAGTTGCAGTGCATGGTGGAACACAATGGAAAGCTGCATGAGATCATATTATGAAAAATAGAAACAAATATTGGGTGGACCTGGGAATCGAACCCAGGTCCCAACAATTGCCAAGCACGTCATCAACCACTGAGCCATCGCGTTGTCTTTGTTAACGTAATAACCAACAAATATAATATATTAAGAATGATAACTATGCTGGAAATCAGAAAAAAGGCGCCAAGAGTTTGAATGCCCCAATCACATACTTCCACATATTCATCTTCTTCACCTGGCCTGCAACCAAAACAATCAAATAGCTGGGGTTTTAAACCCCCACAAAATGCAAATGCCAAAAAATAACGATTAGGGCTACATGTAATATAAAAAAAAGCGCGATGGTTGGGTTGAATTCGTCTGGCCTTGACGAATTCAACCATGTATGTTTCAATGTCCAATTTTTCTGTATGTGGAAAGCCCTAAAATTCAAGCTTCGAAACCCTAAAGTTCTTCAATGGTAGTTTTTGATTCAGAGCACCATAATCAAATTGACTTACACCAATAGCTTCAGGATGTTCCTATTAACACAAATCAACCCAAAAAATAGATTAAAAGTGCATGAATAATGATATGCAATTATGGAAAAATATGCAAACCGTGGGACTTGTTGTGGATGATTCTTTGAGTGTTAGGACTCGTTCTTGGTTGCAAATTGTTCTGGGAATGTCAGCAACGTGATTGAATCAAGAAAAGGGTGTGAATTATCCTGCAAGTGAGAATTCAGTTTTCAAATATTTCTTGAACTTTTGGAATTTTGTTCTCTCGTTTCACAGCAGCTTGCACGTTCCCCTGAATAGGGTTAGGTTTCTTGCATATATGGAAAGGGAATTAAGTCAACTTTAGGCCCAAAAATCCATTGCATTCATGTTTCATTATGTGATTGCCAATCAAATCTTTTTCAACCTTTTTCTTTGATAAAACATTGCCAATCATGGAGATTTTTATGTCCTTGATATGTACACGAATTGCCAACTTGCCCTAAGTGTATTTGCATCACAAAAAGATTTAAAACCATATCTTTTGAATTTTCCTACAATTAAATTAATTAAATGAATTATTAATCAATTAAAAATCCACATAATTAATAGAAATAAGAAAATAATTCAAATTAATCTTAATGGGTCGTGCATAAGCCTTGGGTAAAGATTCAAGAAGGAATTTGAGGCCCATTGGCAAAAATGAGGTGTTTTGGGCAAAGTTGACTTTTGCAAATTCCCAAAAATTTCCCAACTTCTTCAATGCATATCTTGCTCAATTTTGAAGCTATGAACATGTTCTTGGACATTTTGGAAAGGTCTTGAAGTCCTCTAACCAATGCCTTTGTTACCATGTCATTTTGATTCACCAATATCAAGTTATGGTCTTTGACTTAAAGTGCCTTTTTGTTGACTTTTGAAAATGACCTATAATGTAGAAATTGATAACTTTATGCGGGAGCATTTCTTGGACTTGGAGTGTGAAGATGAGTTGTAGGAAATGTCATCCCCTTCAAAATGAGCATTGGATGGGATTTTTATGATGAACCATGAAAAAGTTATGCCTTGGTCAAGTTACAGTTGACTTTTAAGTTGTCCAAAAATACACTACAATATTTAGGCTCTCCAGCAACAATTGAAAAACGTTGCCAGAACTCTGAAAATCGTTGCCTAAAACAATAGGGGACGTTTTCTAGGCGTCTCCTGTGCGAGCGTTGCCTATTGTTTTAGGCGACGTTTTTTTATGTTTTTTGGGAACGCTTTTGAAAAACGTCGCCTATAGTAAAGGAATAGGGGACGATTATTTACGGCCTCTGAGACAACATTTTTTAAGCATTGCGTTGCCAAATTCGGCTACAATTAACAATCGTTGCCTTAAACCTGAATCAGGAAGATCGTTTTTGAAGTGTAGCCATAGCTTATAGGTTGTTGTTTTATAGTGTCCACATAAAATATACAATTTTGCAATTATTATCAAAATAATATAGTCAATAATAATTGGCTTCAAAAATAATATTGATTATATAACTTAAACCATACATCCATAAAAGTTGTAATATAATAAAATCGAGTTCAAACTTTAATTCAAGATATAGTATATAGAGTACACAAAATGCCTAACGTAACAATATTACTTTTAATACTTTGAAGTATGACCCTAGTAAAATAACTTAAAACATAGTTCAGCAAAAGAACAAAAATCATATTTCAAGTTTAATGCTTTCAACTACAAGCCAAAAAAAAGACATCATCCAACTCATTCAAGTTTGTCTTCTAGGAGTAAAGCATCCAGATCGTCCTCTTGAAATTCGTTAGATATGTCATCCTCCATAAATTCTTCATCTACGTCGTCCTCTTGAAATTCACCATCTATATCCTCCTCTTGAAATTCATCATCTAGATCTATGTCGTCCTCTTGAAATTCGTCATCTACGTCGTCCTCTTGAATTTTATCATTTAGGTCGTCCTCTTGAATTTTATCATTTATGTCGTCCTCTTGATCATGAGTTTCCATCCTCTATAAATTTCCCCGACACATTAATAACACAAAACTCTTGTTGTCCGAAAGAGCACGTCTAGAAAAATTCCTTCTTTAACGGAAAAGAAAAGTCAACAGAACAGCAGACCAGGACTCTGGACCCTCTAGAACTAGGATCCGGACAAAGGTAACAATCAGCGGCAGTAATCGAGTTCTACAATTATCAATATATTTGCTTTACTTGGGTCTGCAAGCAGCAGCTTTGACACAAGGTATCCTGCAATTAAGCATGTCTGAAACAGTATAGAAAACTACAATCAAGTCCCTGTATAGGTATGTTGCTGAAGTTTTATTACCATTTCTCAGTTATTTTCATGCAGAAAAACTATGCTTGTAATACATGATAAGAGTTTAAAATTTCAAACAGTCAACATATATGGCCATGGAAAATTTAACAATTAGCATGCACATAGGTTTTCAAGACATGACCATAAATATACTAATTTCGATGAAAAAACTGGTTTGGGAATGGTCATATTTGAAAATTCATCTTCTATGGCAGGGAATAAGTAACATTAATTATAAACCAAATTGTCACCAACCTTGGTCTTCATGAAATACCATTTGGCACATCCGGAACAAAATTTTTCAGAACATCTTCAAACATAACAGGGAAAAATGCCCGTCCAAACTCAAAATAATTTGTATCTTTCTTCTTTAATTTTATTCCGCTTGGCACGTCAAATTGAGTTACGAACTCAGCAAATGCTTTCAGCATGGGATAGCCAATACACATACAACAATTCCTAATCTTTTCTAGTTACAATGGGAAGTTAATATGCATACAACAATTCAATATCTATAAGAAAACTTATATGCTAAATATAACTTTTTAATTTAAGTTTTTATGTGTTCATTGATTGTGATGTTGCCCATGTGTTAAAAACCTAAAATTATTGAACAACAATATTAATTGATATTTGTAGCAGAAGAAAAACTACCTTAGGAATGTTGCAAGTTCTTGGCTCCTGCAAAAGCTGAACAAAAGGAGAACAAACCAAAAGATCATGTACAGTTGCACTAAGGAAGCATAAATTCCCCGAGTTAATAAGGCCTCGAGGCAGTAGTTCCTTAACATCCATAACAGTGTTCCCATTAGTTGATTTTTTTTCGTGTCTTGATCAAATAACTTTGAAGTATCATCACCACTGTCATTTTTATATACATGAGTTACAGAATAAGTTAAATGTAAATATAATCTGGAATTAATAGCAGACAAAACAGTAGCTTTACCGCGGGCATCCATTGATGGGCTCTTGGCCCTGGCTTCGAGTCACAGTATATCAATATAAGCCTATGCAAAAATTGAAGTGCTTCCAAACACTAAATGTTAATTGGCTGCACATGTGAATTCATAAGAGTTTTAAAATAATCAGAGATAAGATAAACATTAGACATTTTGATGTAAATGGAACACCACAAACCTGCAATCTCGGCATCGTAAGTAGTTCATATTGTATTAACAAATGGCACCAAAGAAATTACCTTCACTCAATTTGCAAACAACAACTAAAGGATTGTTTTGCAGCAATATTTGGAATACATGCACATAGAAATCATTAAAGGCACTGGTTAATTGCATCATGTAAATTCACGTAGTGATAACTGCAAAGTGTGCTTATGTTTAAGCAGAGTAATATCAATAAAAAAACTTTGATTCACTAAGTTTATGAGTTTTATCCCTTACACTATACTTCAACATCAGAAAGAACAAACAAAAAAGCAAACAATTCATTTAATTCAACTACAAGTCCACACTGCAGAGTAAAGAGAAAAAGAATACAGTAAACTTCCCCGTAAGTGTCTGCCAAAAGAGAGTGTAACAGAACCATAAACAATGAGATCATGTGAGACAACAGAGATAGTGAAATTGTCCATATTAATATCCTTCACAGTATTTCCACCATCGCTCTCTTGCTTCACACACGCAACAGGCATCCCGATAGAAAGAGCAGACAAATGTTCACTAATTAAATATCACAATTATAATCATCAATGAAGTTCAAGACATATTGAGAAGTAGACATACCTAAGGCTATTAAGATGACATGCAAAGTATTTCTCTAACACAACACAATTATTTTATATTTACCAGGCTCACTAAATTGATTAATCATACCTTTAGAATTAATAAAGAGCTTGAATGAGTTAAGCAAAAGCAAGTACTCGTTGGTGTTATCATCTCTTAAAGTGAGTTGGCAACCAAATTAAGTAGAAAATTCTGGAATAAATTAAAATAATAAAACATATAAACAATGACATCTAGTGTTTCAATCACTTTTCTTGATGTTCCTCTCAAGAGAGAATCTTTTTCTTTCACAGGAGACAATTTTCTATGCCCTTTCAAAATAGTTGGTGATAATTATGCTACATTTTTAGTAAAGAACAATATAGCACTGCTTATAGCACTTGACCTATCCGCTGAGTTCTACATTGCACTATCGCCTATACTAAATTCATGTCCCATTCTTCATTGTAGGAGCTATCTTCCTTATCAGAGAAACTTGAATCACCAAAAGGCAAGTGGGCCATTGTTTCTTTGATCAACCAACTATATGCCTCTGACCGAGTAAGGTTCCTTTACAGGGGTCAACTTTTAAAATGCAGCAATCAGTATCATTGCTACATGTATATGTTTTAAGCAAAAACTTAAAAATCCAATGATAAAATCAATATGGTGTAAGAATTGAGAGAACAAATATAGACTTACCTGTATAGCTGACACTAATGGCACAAAAGAGAGCCATTTGAACTTTTGTTTTTCCCATGAAAATAGTTAAGCAAATATTAGTAAAGTACATATAAAAAAGACAAACCATAGTTTGAATGAGAACCATAATCGAGAATATTTTTAAAAGCAACTAAATGTAAAAACAAATTACACCTCGAAGAAAGGGAGGTTAAACTTTTCGACAACTCTATCTAGAGCACCACTTGTAGGCATTAATTGTGTAAGACCCTGCAATTACAATGCAGAACAATAACACTTTTGTTTACAACAATGAATACTCGTCGATAATATGATATATGCACAAACTTTCTACCTTGAGACTGTTCTTAAAGTACGGAATCACTTCTTTTGCATTGGTTGCAATAACGGCTACAGAATCTGCAAAGAAACTCGTTCCCAAAATCATATTTCTATCACCATCACCTAAATAAAAGTTTAAATACATAAACATCATCAAGTGAATACCTTAGAGTCAAGACCAAAATTATGATCAAAATCATCAAGTGTAAACTTAATAACTCTATCATGAAATTTGCATTCAATACTTCTGCTAAACACCTTAAGATTTTAGTAAAAAAGCTTTAACATGCTTGAGGTTAAAGTTTTTATTCAATCCAATAAATTTCAATTTCAATTCAGACTCGGTAGATCTATCAACGTAGTACTTACAAATGCATGGTTCATATAAAGGATGGAAAAACACCATGGTTCATATATCAACGTAGCTTTTACAAATGCATAGTTATTATAAAAATTTCATTTATAATCTAAATATACACTAAACATGCATTCCAATACCAAACATAGAATAAATTGGTGAACTTTTAATCTAAACATGCACAAACATTTCATAGTCTAATATAATATGTATTTGTTGTTTCTTTTCAAACTATATAATATGTATCTGTTACCTGAATTCTTTCAACTTGATTCCAGCAGTAATAGAAACTAAAATTTTGTCCTTAGTTACAAGCGACTTCGATTTCAACACAACTTCCTTCACTGCAACAACAACAACAACAAAGGGAGTGTGAATTTATGATAAGGGTGTGTGTATCAGTCATTACCTGCTTGTGCGATGCAGACTTGGGGCCAGCCTCATTGGCAATTGCCTTTACAATTCAGCATACAAGTTGGAAAAAGCAGCAAAGAATCAAACATGGCACTGTTGTTGGAGAGTAACAACATTGTTTAATCATCTGAATCTTGTTTCTTCAAATAAGAATATTTACTGTTCTGATTTTTATCTTTATAGATTTTAACAAAATATCTCATATTCATTTACTTCTATAATTCTCTAATGACTGCTTGTCATCAAAAAAAAAATTCAAAGATTTCTTCTCTAATAATTAAACTTTTCATCTCTCAAGGTGAATGAATAGTATTAATAAAAGGTCTACTTCTACTAACAAGAAAGAAAATAATACCTCATAATTTAAAATAAACTCCCTTAAAATTGGATACAGATATAAAATAAGGTTTTTTTTTTATAACCAAAATATATCAAAGGGAGTGCAAGGGATTTTTGTTCTATATAAACTGCAGATACATTTTGTTAAATAAAAAACAAAAACTGCAGATAGTAAGTAATAAGTGGAAGCTTAATGTAGTACATTATTATTCTTTTACAATTTGATCAGTGACAACCAATGAACATGCACTTTATTTGTCCCTATAGTTATTTAAATGTCAGTTTTTGGTTCCACACATCACTCCTTGAACCTATAGATGATTTATAACATTACATTTCATGTAATCAGACAGACAAAAAAGAATGACTTAAACTATTCATCAAAGTAGGATTTAATTAGCACTATTCATCAGGCCTGGGAATCAACTAGAATCTTGCTAAACTATTCATCAAAGTAGGATTTAATTAGCACTAGCAAACAATAAACCATCAAGCAATGAAGACAAATCAAATGATGTACCAACATTATCATAAATAGACACTGACTTCTTCCTTTTTGACAAAACTTATTTCGGCTCTACAATTCTATCCTCATACACATACCTTCCATTATTGTCAAGAAACTAATAGAAACCATTCTCATCAGGAAAATACCTCATTAGCTTGATAGTAGATTTTCAACAACTTTTAGAGCTTCAACCAAGTCAGCATCATCAGAAAGAATACCATTCAGTTCCAGAAAGAAGTGAATAAAGATGAAAAGAATACCATTCAATACTTCTGCTAAACACCTTATGATTTTAGTAAAAAAGCTTTAACATGCTTGAGGTTAAAGTTTTTATTCAATCCAATAAATTTCAATTTCAATTCAGACTCGGTAGATCTATCAACGTAGTACTTAACTTCTATAGGTTTATTAAAAAAATCTTTGACTTACCTTTGAAGTTGTCTTTTCAGTATCAAATGGATAATCTTTTGACATAGAGCAGACAATTCTTTTCTCTGAGCAATTGATGCAATTGCTCTGAGCAATTCTTTGGACGACTTGGACGACGTGGACGGCGGACGACGTGGACGAAAGCAGTTGGACGGCGAACGACGAACGGACGACGACGTGGACGACGAACACGGCGTGGCAGTTGGACAGAGTGACGAAGAACACGGCGGAGGGTGTGAACGAAAGAGGTTTGACTCGGAGCGGATGAAGGACCGAGCGTCTGAGAGCGCGGCTAGGTTCGGCAAAATGTGTGAACGAAAAAGAAGGAGAATCGAATTCCTTATCTGTTTCTTTTTCTTTTTTTTATTTTCTATTCTTTTTTTTATTTTCTATTCTTTTCTATTCTTTTTTTTTCTTTTTAGACTAATATATAGATATATATATATATATATATATATATATATATATATATATATATATATATATATATATATATATATATATATATATATATATATATATATATATATATATATATATATATATATATATATATATATATATATATATATATATATATATATATATATATATATATATATATATATATATATATATATATATATATATATATATATATATATATATATATATATATATATATATATATATATATATATATATATATATATATAATTTTTTATTTTCTGTTTAATTGAAATTTTTTATTTTTAAATTCCTGTGTTAGAAAAATATTTTTTTTATATATATTAATAATGCTTAGAGAAAAATATTTGTTTTTTAGTGTATAAGTTTTGGAGGGAAGATTGCCACCAAAAATTTATACAACATTTCAGAAATGTAGCCTTTTATTAGAACTAATGTAACAATCTAAAAATGTCCCCAAAAATGTTTTAGGGGACAATTGTCAAACATTGCTAAAGAAATAATATTTTAACGCTCTAAAATCGTCCCCAAAAGCAGTTAAGGGCACAATTAACAACCGTTGGCAAAAAAAATAAAAGAGTATCGCTCCATAAACGTCCCCAAAAGTATTTTAGGCGACGATTATCAAGGGTTGCAAACATATTTTTGACAACAATCATAAATCGTTGCCTATATGAATTTAAGGCAACAATTTCTACATGTTACCTAAAAAAGTGTTGCCAAAGACAACAAATGTTGTAGTGATAGCAACTTTTTGCATCTTGATGATTTTTGAGCCATGCTTGTGGAATCATGATCAAGACTTGATCAAATGATGATTGTGGCTTCAAAATAAGATATTGACCAAAAAATTTGACTTTTGACTGCCAAATGACCATTTTGCCCCTGCAATTGACTGTGAAGCAATTTAGGGCTTTTGACTGTGCAATTTGATGCTGTGAGCCTTGAAATTTGACATGTAGATGCTTGAAAATGTATATAGGCATATGGGACTTGATTGGACCCTTGAAAACCTCAACTTCCTTGCAAGGACCAAAACCCTAATTTTGACTGTGTTAGGAGGCAATTGGACTGTGCAACCCTTGAGAGATTTTGAACCATTTGGAGGTTGATCTTGACAAATCTTGAAGAATATGGGAGGGCAAATTTTGGGGTACAACAGTTGCCCCTGTTCAATCTTCTTAGACCTGAGGATGTAGATTGGCTTGCATGCCTTTCATGATCCGAAGGTGGAAGATGATTGAACACTAGAGTGCCCAGAAATTTGCACTCACATAGTAGAGTATCAGCAGTGTGGTGGAGGGAATGGGCTTACAGATGCCATTTGGAAAGATGGTGGATAGGAGGATGGGCTTATAGATGCCATCTGGAAGTGTGACAGAACCTTGTCGGGAATGGGCTTATAGATGCCATTTGGAAATGTAATGGATAGTGGTGGAGATGGGCTTAAAGATGCCATCGGGAGGTGTCGATCGCGTAAGAGATTCCTTAGCGAGAACTTGCGTACTTTGAGAAAGAAAGATGGTTTCCTGGCCTGTTACAGGGGTTGATCTTCAAACTCTTTATGTAGATATGCCCTGGCTGGATACAGATATCGAATCTTCAACTCTTTAGACGTGCCCTGGCTAGATACAAGAATCGAATCTGGAATTAGTCGTCAACAGATATGCCCTGGCTGGATACAGGAATCGAATCTTCAAACTCTTCAGTCGTGCCCTGGATGGATACAGGAATCGAATTTGGAATTAGTCGTCAACAGATATGCCCTGGCTGGATACAGGAATCGAATCTTCGAACTCTTCAGACGTGCCCTGGCTGGATACAGGAATCGAATCTGGAATTAGTCGTCAACAGATATGCCCTGGCTGGATACAGGAATCAAATCTGGAATTAGTCGTCAACAGATATGCCCTGGCTGGATACAGGAATCAAATCTTCAAACTCTTCAGATGTGCCCTGGCTGGATATAGGAATCAAATCTGGAATTAGTCATCAACAGATTTGCCCTGGCTGGATACAGGAACCGAATCTTCAAACTCTTCAGACGTGCCCTGGCTGGATATAGGAATCGAATCTGGAATTAGTCGTCAACAGATATGCCCTGGCTGGATACAGGAATCGAATCTTCAAACTCTTCAGACGTGCCCTGGCTGGATACAGGAATCGAATCTGGAATTAGTCGTCAACAGATATCCCCTGGCTGGATACAGGAATCGAATCTTAAAACTCTTCAGACGTGCCCTGGCTGGATAGAGGAATCGAATATGGAATTAGTCGTCAACAGATATGCCTTGGCTGGATACAGGAATCGAATCTTCAAACTCTTCAGACGTGCCCTGGATGGATACAGGAATCGAATTTGGAATTAGTCGTCAACAGATATGCCCTGGCTGGATACAGGAATCGAATCTTCAAACTCTTCAGACGTGCCCTGGCTGGATACAGGAATCGAATCTGGAATTAGTCGTCAACAGATATGCCCTGGCTGGATACAGGAATCGAATCTTCAAACTCTTCAGACGTGCCCTGGCTGGATACAGGAATCGAATCTGGAATTAGTCATCAACAGATATGACCTGCTGGATACAGGAATCAAATCTTCAAACTCTTCAGACGTGCTCTAGCTGGATACAGGAATCGAATCTGGAATTAGTCGTCAACAGATATGCCCTGGCTGGATACAGGAATCGAATCTTCAAACTCTTCAGACGTGCCTTGGCTGGATACAGGAATCGAATATGGAATTAGTCGTCAACAGATATGCCCTGGCTAGATATAGGTATCGAATCTTCGAACTCTTCAGACGTGCCCTGGCTGGATACAGGAATCGAATCTGGAATTAGTCGTCAACAGATATGCCCTGGCTGGATACAGGAATCGAATCTGGAATTAGTCGTCAACAGATATGCCTTGGCTGGATACAGGAATCGAATCTTCAAACTCTTCAGACGTGCCCTGGATGGATACAGGAATCGAATCTGGAATTAGTCGTCAACAGATATACCCTGGCTGGATACAGGAATCGAATCTTCAAACTCTTCAGACGTGCCCTGGCTAGATACAGGAATCGAATATGGAATTAGTCGTCAACAGATATGCCCTGGCTGGATACAGGAATCGAATCTTCAAACTCTTCAGACGTGCCCTGGCTGGATACAGGAATCGAATCTGGAATTAGTCATCAACAGATATGACCTGGCTGGATACAGGAATCGAATCTTCAAACTCTTCAGACGTGCCCTAGCTGGATACAGGAATCGAATCTGGAATTAGTCGTCAACAGATATGCCCTGGCTGGATACAGGAATCGAATCTTCAAACTCTTCAGACGTGCCTTGGCTGGATACAGGAATCGAATCTGGAATTAGTCGTCAACAGATATGCCCTGGCTAGATATAGGTATCGAATCTTCGAACTCTTCAGACGTGCCCTGGCTGGATACAGGAATCGAATCTGGAATTAGTCGTCAACAGATATGCCCTGGCTGGATACAGGAATCGAATCTGGAATTAGTCGTCAACAGATATGCCCTGGCTGTATACAGGAATCAAATCTTCAAACTCTTCAGATATGCCCTGGCTGGATACAGGAATCAAATCTGGAATTAGTCGTCAACAGATATGCCCTGGCTGGATACAGGAATCGAATCTTCAAACTCTTCAGACGTGCCCTGGCTGGATATAGGAATCAAATCTGGAATTAGTCATCAACAGATATGCCCTGGCTGGATACAGGAATCGAATCTTCAAACTCTTCAGACGTGCCCTGGCTGGATATAGGAATCGAATCTGGAATTAGTCGTCAACAGATATGCCCTGGCTGGATACAGGAATCGAATCTTCAAACTCTTCAGACGTGCCCTGGCTGGATACAGGAATCGAATCTGGAATTAGTCGTCAACAGATATCCCCTGGCTGGATACAGGAATCGAATCTTAAAACTCTTCAGACGTGCCCTGGCTGGATAGAGGAATCGAATATGGAATTAGTCGTCAACAGATATGCCTTGGCTGGATACAGGAATCGAATCTTCAAACTCTTCAGACGTGCCCTGGATGGATACAGGAATCGAATTTGGAATTAGTCGTCAACAGATATGCCCTGGCTGGATACAGGAATCGAATCTTCAAACTCTTCAGACGT